CCCCTATAGTTAATTACATCTTAAATGACCGAAGTCACCTAAGAAAACTCTCGATAAAAATCAGGGAATACTATCTTCAAAGGAGTCAAAAGGATAGGACTTTTCAATGAAATCGGACGAAGAGTTGTGAAAAGGGAAATGCTCGAACCTGGAACAATGTTGAGGAATCCAAATGAAGAGAAACTAGGGGAGGCCACAGATCCAGAGGAGAACCTCAGTGACTTCGCAGTCTATCCTATGATTTGGCTCCAGTTTTGAGAAGAAATTATTAAAGTGTTTCATCCTGCCAGTTTTATTTAATTAGGGCTTATATTTGCGTGACATGGTCACACAAATCGCCTAGAAGATATGAGTGTTTGCGTCGTATCGGATGACAACCTCGGAACAATTAAGGCTTATATTTGCGTGACAGGACCACACAAATCGCCTAGAAGATATGAGAGTTTACGTCGTATCGGACGACAACCTCGGAAACTAGAACGAGTTTAGGGCTTAAATCGTACGACAGAGCTATACGAATGCCTAAAGAAAATGTGGATGATTTATGTCACGCTAGGCGAACAACCTCGAAATTCTATGGATTATTGTTTAATTTCTAGGAAAAGGGATGGTTTGACTGGGGAAGACGTGTTATGCTGTTGAAGATGACCGTGCTGCCCACTGCGTTAGCGTCAGGCTCCCCGACATGACGAGTTTAAGTTTTCTAGGGCGTCCAATTATAGTGTTAAATCAAACGGCTCTATGGTTGTAGTCCTCTAAACATCCTATGCAAAAAGGAAAGATGCTTGAAGTTATATAATATAAAGTGTGCAATGCAGGAACAAAACAATAGAATGCACTTGGAACAGTAGTAGGCAAAACAGGAGCAGTATAACATGCTATACATGAAGAACAGTAGTAGGTAGAAACATGACAAGTGTAACATGCTTTACAGTACGGTAGCAGGTAGGATTAGGACAAGTGTAACATGTTATACAGAAAGAACAACAGCAGGTAGAAACAGGAAAATTAAGTGTTGTAAAATGTAAAACAAACCTGTACGCCCGTGAGATCCGATGTTCCTTAAGTATAGCAAGCCTAAATGCATCGCAAAAAACGAAGTTTGAAAGAAACGTCGTCCAGGAAACCCGAGGAAAAACGGAAAACTAGAGAAAATCAACGAAAAAGACTCAAGTAAAAGAAAATCCTCAAAACTCCTGGGGAAATACCGAAAGAAAGAAAAAGTAACACGAGCGCCCTGTCCCAAAGCTTCGATAAAACAAAAAGAAGATTCAGATGAGGGGGACCGCAAGCACTCGTATGGGACTAGGCTCAGCTGTATATTTATTCTCGAGGGTCCACGAAGGCTACTCGGTCACCCGAATGTATAGAACCCGCCACTCGTCTAGAAGGGTGTCTTGAACCTCACTTAGAGGGTTATTTCCCAGCCTAAACAGGTATTCGTCCGGTGGACAACCAACTTTAAAACGTATTTTAAAAGTTATGTTTTTGACAAACACACAAATTTTAAACATGCAAAGAAGATTTATCAATTTTGTTTCGTAGAAAAGTACGTTTTCGTTTGAAAATAGTTTATCAAAACTTATCTCTTTTTTTTTAGAAATTTTTGTTGTCCACGAGTCGATTACGCTACCAGGCATAGGCCTGCTTACAACCTGAGGAGGTTCGAGCCAACTCCCGCTACACTTATGTCGATGAAGGATACCATATTCTATTGTTCATCAAATGCCTGGATCTTGATGTTATAGGATAGGACATCTTTC